TATATATATATATATATATGTGTTTTTTTTTTATTAAAAATACAAATATAAATTATCCATATATATAAAAAATATAAAATTATATATATAAATAATATAATATAAAATATAAAAATTAGATATACTGAAAAGTATAATATAAAGAGTATTCAAAATATAAAAAAATAAATATTATTTATGTTAATATTAAAAAAAAAAATTAATTTATTAAAAATTATTATTATTATTATTATTATTTTTTTTTGTGTATACATATATACAAATTGCATATATCTTGCACTACTTTTGTTGTCGTAAATTATAAGATTAATAACATTATGAAATATTTAATTTAAATATTTAATACTTATTATGAAATATTAAACTCGATATAGTTTTTGCTAAAATTCATAACAACAAATATAAATATATATTTATATACATACGCATATATATAAATAAAAGGGAAAAACCTTGTCACATTCCGGTATTGTGGCATTCCGGCATTACGCATGCCACTTCAATGCTGATGATCGCAACGTTTGCGGCATTCCGATATCGATAACGATTGCGCACGATTCGCTAAGCTGTCACAATGATAGTTCAATTACGCATGCATATATACGTATATATGTACATATCTCTCTCTATCTCTCTCTCTCTCTTAATATATGTATATATATTGACGCATACGTCAGTTGAGCTGTCCGATAATCATTTCCAGACACTGTGAAATGATATGCAAGCGCCTTTGGGGCTGGGCCTGTGGCTGAAAGGGGGGCGTGCGGAGGGCTTCGGGAAAGCCTTGGCAAGATATTTACCAACGATCCAATTGCAGTGATGGCAAGCAAGACGAAACTGGGACTGGGCGAGGGCGGGTAATTAATCAAGGCGGCTGATAAGAGCGCCCCAGATAGCAGAGAAGCCATCAGAGTGGCGGGAGCAAGAGATGGGAATGGCAATGGGAGTGTGATCACTGCTCTCTCTCTCTCTCTCTGTCTCTCTTTACATAGCTGAGGTAATGTGTGTCCATATGCCACTACTAGATCGATCGCTGCCTGGCATCTGTTTAGCATTGGCATTAGTCAATCCACTCGATCGTAGGTAAATGGGAGGCGCTGAGTCAGCGAATCGAACTAGAAGTGCGGCCATGAGTAAGATGGGCGTGTTAGTCATCGTTCGCTGTAGTCGATGACGATAGATGGGGGGGGAGCTGTTGTGTGCTGAGATTAATCCAATGTCTGTCTCGATCTTGTGCGATTGCAGCTGGATGCGAACAACGATGGCTTCATCGATCTGAACGAGCTGAAGGACGCCCTCAATCAGGTGGGCTTCAAGCTGGCCGGCTACCAGGTGCGCGAGATGATCGACGAGTTCAAAGGCAAACAGCGCACGGCGCATCAGGGCAAACTGAATCTGGATGAGTTCGAGACGCTCTGCTTGGACCTCAAGTCCAAGGATGTGGCGAGCACATTCAAAACTGTGGTGTCCAAGAAGGAGAACCTGGAGACGTTAGGCGGCATGTCCAGCATATCGTCCGAGGGCACCACACACTCGGTGCGGCTCGAGGAGCAGCTGGCCTTCTCCGACTGGATCAACTCAAATCTGGGCCATGACAAGGACCTGCAGCATCTGCTGCCCATCGATCCGGAGGGCAAACGGCTCTACCAGTCGATCAGCGACGGCATCTTGCTGTGCAAGATCATCAATCACTCCTGCCCCGACACAATCGACGAGCGCGCCATCAACAAGAAGAACCTGACCGTCTACAGGGAGTTCGAGAATCTGACACTGGCGCTCGTCTCCTCGCAGGCCATCGGCTGCAACATCGTGAACATCGATGCCCACGATCTGGCCAAGGGCAAGCCGCATCTGGTGCTCGGTCTGCTCTGGCAGATCATTCGGATTGGCCTGTTCAGTCACATCACACTGGACAGCTGTCCCGGGCTGGCCGGCCTGCTGTTCGACAATGAGCGGCTGGAGGATCTGATGAAAATGTCGCCAGAGGCCATACTGTTGCGCTGGGTGAATCATCATTTGGAGCGCGCCGGCATCTCGCGCCGCTGCACCAACTTCCAGTCGGACATTGTCGATTCGGAGATCTACTCGCATCTGCTCAAGCAGATAGCCGGCAACGAGGCCGACGTCAATCTGGATGCGTTGCGCGAGTCCGATCTGCAGCAGCGCGCCGAGATCATGCTCCAGCAGGCGGCCAAGCTGAACTGCCGCAGCTTCCTGACGGCCCAGGATGTCGTCAACGGCGTCTACAAGCTGAACTTGGCCTTTGTGGCCAATCTGTTCAACAATCATCCCGGCCTGGACAAGCCCGAGCAGATCGAGGGTCTCGAGTCCATCGAGGAGACGCGCGAGGAGAAGAGTAAGTGTGATTCTCTGCCGCTGTCTGCAATTCCCGTTTTAATCTCCCTCCATCTTCGTCTTCTTCTTCGTCGTCTTTGCCTTGCAGCCTATCGCAACTGGATGAACTCGATGGGCGTGGCGCCGCACGTCAACTGGCTGTACTCGGATCTGGCCGACGGCCTGGTCATCTTCCAGCTGTTCGATGTCATCAAGCCGGGCATCGTCAACTGGAGTCGCGTCCACAAGCGCTTCACCCCGCTGCGCAAGTTCATGGAGAAGCTGGAGAACTGCAACTATGCCGTTGATCTGGGCAAACAGTTGAAGTTCTCGCTGGTCGGCATTGCTGGACAGGATCTGAACGATGGCAATGCCACGCTCACGCTGGGTATGTGGAAGGAGGAGGAGGCGAAATAGTTGTATAGAGAGAGAGAGAGAGAGAGATAGAGATATGGAGGTATAGAGAGAGAGATAGAAGGATAGAACAAGGGATATATGGAGATATGGAGATATATAGAGAGATAAATATAGATAGGTAGAGGTATGGAGTTATAGAGAGAGACAGAGATAGATATGGAGAAAGAGATATATAGGTATAGAGATAGACTTAGAGAGAGGTAGAGATATTAGAAGATGTATATGTATATGAAAGATAAAGACAGAGATAAATAACGAGATAGAGAAATGAGATATAGAGAGAGATAGAAAGAAAAATATAGAGAGAGAAATATATAGGGAAAACGAAAGGGAGCGAGAGAGAGATGGGAACAGATATTAAGATATAGGTATATAGAGTTAGAAATCTTAAGAAAAGAGTTATAGAAATATAGAGATACAGAGATATGAAGAGAAAGTGAGATAAAGATATAGAGAAATAGAGATAGAGACATATGGAGAGAGATGGAGATATATAGAGGTGGAGAAGTAGTGATTAGAGATAGGGAAATGGATATAGGTATATAGAGATATAAATATTAAGAAAAGGAAATATAGAGAGAGATAGAGATATATAGAGGTGGAGAAATAGCGATTAGAGATAGGGAAATGAAGAGAAATAGAGATATATAGAGGTAGAGATTTAGTGATTAGAGATAGGGAAATGAATATAGGTATATAGAGATATAAATATTAAGAAAAGAGTTATAGAAAAATTAAGATACAGAAATATGAAGAGAAAGCGAGATAAAGATATAGAGAAATAGAGATAGGGAAATATAGAGAGAGATATGAAGATATATAGAGGTGGAAAAATATTGATTAGAGATTGGGAAATGAAAGAGAAATGGAGATATATAGAGATAGAGATTTAGCTACACGGGCATCTCCCAGACATCTATTGAGCTAAGCTGAACTGAAATTACCGAGAGTCTAGGCGAGCTCTAATCGGGCTTTCCCCGTTTCTTTTACAGCTCTCATCTGGCAGCTGATGCGCGCCTACACTCTGTCGATTCTCTCCCGGCTGGCCAACACGGGCAATCCCATCATCGAGAAGGAGATCGTGCAGTGGGTGAACACACGGCTCTCCGACGCCGGCAAGCAGTCGCAGTTGAGGAACTTCAACGATCCAGCGATTGCCGATGGCAAGATCGTGATCGATCTGATAGATGCCATCAAGGAGGGCAGCATCAACTATGAGCTGGTGCGCACCAGCGGCACACAGGAGGTACGTGCCGGCAGTTAGCCAAGTCAATGTGTACTCGACTCCATTCAATATTCAATTTGGATTTTTTTATGTTTTCAGGACAACCTGGCCAATGCCAAGTATGCCATATCCATGGCGCGCAAGATTGGCGCCCGTGTCTATGCCCTGCCCGAGGACATAACCGAGGTCAAGCCCAAGATGGTGATGACCGTCTTTGCCTGCATGATGGCGCTCGACTATGTGCCCAACATGGATAGCGTTGATCAGAACAACCACAACAACAGCAACAACAGCAATTGAATTGCAACAACAGCAATTGAATTGCAACAACAGCACCACCACCACCACCAACAACAACAAACACAGCAACAACTCAATTACACCTACAACTAAACAACAACAACAACAAATTGTAAAAAAAAACCACAACAACAAACGGAATGTAAGCAATACGTACGGATTGTGTCTTGGCCGTAATCAAACTGAAACTAACTTGCAAAAATTAGTGGCGCAACAACAACAACAACAACAGCAACAACAATCATCATCAACGAGCTGCAAATTGTTCTTGTAACGTTCTTTTAGAATTTTTTTTTTTTTAATATTATTATTATTATTTTTATTGTATTATTTTTTTGCTATTGTAATTAAGCGTAAAAAGTTAACAAAAGAAACAAAAACACGAGAGAAAACCTAAAAAAAAAAAAAGGAAAGAAGAGAAACAACCACAACAACAACAACATCAACAACAACATACCCCATACACAACACCTTTTGTGTTGTTAATTTATATATAACAATATACATACGAAATATGTATATATAAATATGTCTACTTTTTTTTTAACAAAAATGTATTGTTTAATTATATAAACTAAAAAAAAAAAAAAAACAAAAAGAAAACGAAAACAACAAAAACGAAACCTTATTTTATAAATAAAGGTTTGGCCTCTTCTGTTTACGTCTACGATGCGAGCGTGCAAGAAACATTTGTAATAACAGTAACTAAAATATATTGTAATATATGCACATACACATACATATACATATACATATAGCTATACATGCATATATACATAGATATGTGCAAATACTAAGCATATATACGTACATAGATATTTATATTCATATGCATATATATATATATATATTTGTATGCATAATTCTATTTTTGCATCTAGAATTTGACCTGAGATGAAAACAGTTAACTTCATTCTCCCGCTGCTGCAAATGGCATATATAACATACATACATACATATTGATATATCGATACATATGTATAGACATTCATTCTTCAGTTACGTATTAGAGTGAGATGGCAGACACACTCACACACACAGACAAACACAAGCAGTGAGCGAGAGAGCAATAGCCGTCACTATCGAGCTTTTATTTGTATACTCATTCACGAGAGTGAAATGGGTATATTGATTATGTGCAATGTCCTTCCGCTTCTCTGTCTGTCTGTCCGTCCGTCTATCCGCCATTGAAGCTACACACTTGAAACTTAGTAGGCGTGGCAATGCATTTTTCGGCATCGCAGAAACCAAGATAATTGAAGAGCTAGAGAATTGAAGCTCATATATCTACGCCCATTAGGGGCGTGGCAAAAGCTTGTCCACTCTTACAGCTACATAGAGATGATGACATCCTCTATTGCCCTCTACTATGTGTATATGCATCAATTGGAGGCGTGGCAAATGGGAAAATGTTTCGAAATGAACGTGAATGAGTATTCTGCAACGATCTTACTTGATTTCCTAGTGCAATGAGGCCGGCGGACAGACAGATCAGAAATGTGGATCGAGAAAATAAAGAACGAATTAAAACAGAAATCAATAATAATGTATGTATGTATTATAAAAAAGCAACAAGTAATCGAAATAAAGCAAACAAACAACAAGAAGAAGAAGAAGAACGAAATCATATTCGTTGACATTTCATTTGATTGCACAACCAAAATTCAACAGCTAATTCAAAAGTTTTGCCCACTTTTGATTAGAGCGAGGCTAGGTGAAGCGAATCGCCGTTCTGTAAGCACTGCAATAATATATGGAATGCAATCTCGAGTCGTAAGCACTTTTCGCCAGCTGCTCCAATGGGGGGCAGGTGTCGCAACCCAGTCACATACATATATGATGTGTACATATACATATATTTATGTAGAGGTAGAGTATATATACATATATATATATATACATATATATTGTCACACAATCTGAAATCAATTATAGTTGCCAATCGCATTCGCCTGGCCCTGATAAGCGCCCTCACGTGGATCCAAGCAACGGCTTATCTAACTAATGTGATCTCAATTATTGCTTTTTTTTTTTTTGCTTTGGTTTTTTTTTTGTGTGTGCAAAGTTCATGCGTCATAAAGTCCTAATGCTGATCAGCAACGTTAAGCTAAGGCAATCAGAAAGTGAGAGAGGAGAGAGAGAGGGAGAGAGAGAATGAGAGAGAGAGAGAGTAAGACTTTCAGATTTAATGGCACTAAACTTGGACTACAACAGGAATTAAGATGATCTACTCGGAACTTTTGAAACTATATTTAGAGAGAGATCTCCTCAGTCTTCAGAGTGTTTTGGCCAATCTACATACATATCTCTGAGGGTTTCTGAACTAGAGAAGTTCGGAATGCGGATAAATATAGCCAGAAGGGAGATCTCTCAAATTATTCCTAAAGAGTGAGCTGCTCAGTGTTAAGATTGGGATATTCATAATTAAAAAAAAAAAAAAACTATCTATTTTTTTTTATAAATCTGGAGTTTCGCAAAACATTTACTTATTTATATTTTCTAGTTCTAAACTTTTTGCAATATTAAAAAAAAAAGGAAATATTAATAATAATAAAAAAATTGACAAATATTAAATTCTTCTCATTATACCCTGACATTCTATTTATTTTTTATTTTATTTTATTTAGGCTTTGATTTTTTTTTTCAAATACAAAAATTTTTATTGATACCCTTTCTTTAAAAAATATTCAATTTATTTTGCTTTTTTATTTATTTTTATATAGGATTTATTACTTTTTATTTTTTTTATTTATTTATTTATTTATTTATTTATTTATTTCATTTTGTCTTATTCTGGAATTGCACAAACTATTTGTTTTTGATTTTCAATTTTTTTTTATTTTTTTTATTTTAAATGTGTTTTTTTTTTTACTTTTAGAAAAATTTGAACATATATATATTTTTTTAATTTATTTTCTAGATTCTTGAGCTTTATAAAATTTGTTAAAAATATTTTTAAAATTTTTTTTTGAATTTACAAAAATGTAATTTAGCACATGGGCCTAGAAAAACCTCAAGTTTAATAAACTTTATGAAATTTAAAAATGATCTATATATTTTGTAGTTGTTTTATTCAAGCTCAAAAGAGGAAAAACTCGAAGTTGTCTGGAATAAACGCGATTGCCAAGTGCTTAGCTTACAATATACACATACATATATGTAGGTTTATATAGATTAGAGACAGATTAGATTATACGAAACAGAATTAGAAAAAAAAAAAACACACAATCAATAGATTTGTATAGTATTGCCATTGCCACGCCCACTAAGTAGCAGTAATTTTGGCTGGCAGACGCCGGCGCACAACTTTGGTTAGCCGACGAGCAGGAGGCGGGGACGCCGTAGTGGCCAGCGCTGGCATAACGGTACTATTCATGGCCAAAGCTGGAGCCGCTGTGGTCAGGCCATCGCCATCGCCATCTCCCTCACCCTTGTGGCTGCCCTGGGCATAGCTGTAGCTGATGGTGCGCTTGTAGATGCGCTGCTGCTGCTGCGACTGCTTGGCGTTCGGCTGAGCGCTGCTCCTGCTCCTGCTCTTGCTCAGCTTGTTCAGCTCGGCGTCGTAGCAGCGGCGTAGGTGCTGCCCGCCGCCATCCTTGCACTCGTAGCAGACGCTCTTGCCCACCAGGCGACGCTCACAGAGACTGCTGCTCTCACCGCCGCTGCTGCCGCTGCTGCTCCTGGTGGCGCCTCCTGCTGGCTGCACAATTGTCGTGTGCCGCTTGCCAGAGCGACGCGGACGCGGACGCTGTGTCGGCATCGACTGCCTTGGCTGCTCCTCGCTCTGATCCTCCTCGGGCGCTATGTCCCGATAGCGCCTGTACTGGCTGCCACTGCCGTAGGCGTACTGCGCCGGCTGCTCCTCGTGCGAGTAGCTGCACGTCTCGGAGACCTCGTTGTTGCGCGACTCGCGGCATATTTCGCACAGCTGGCCGTGGCGACGGACGCGACGGCAGCTGGACGGCTGCGTCTGCTTGGGCTTCTGCTGCTGCTGCAGATTGCTGGCCTCGGCCTGGGACTCAACGCTCTCCTCCAGCTCGGCCGCCTCCTCGTCGCTGTCCTCGGGTATGCGATCGAAATACTGCCGCACAAACTGTTCGTAATTGCGCTCGTAATCCTCGCCAGAATGGCCTTCGACGCTGTGGCTATTCGGCTCCAGTTCCACGTCCACGTCATCATCATCAGCTGCATCTGTTTCCGTTTCTAGCTCATCCGCATCCGCATCCTCGTCCAGCTTGGCCTGGGCCACAGGCAGCTGTGCCGCCAGAGCCTCAGCCCGGCCCGGCTGCAGGTCATCGGCATTGGTGAGTGCGTCCAGCCGCTGCAGCAGCTTGCCCGGCGCAAAGGCCTGCCAGTAGTTGACACTGTGATCGTAGCCACCAGCGACCGCTCCGACCAGCAACAGCGTCAGCAGCAACATTTCGATTGCGATTTGAAGCGCTGCCTCGAGCGACAGCTGCCTATATACGCCAGCGGGCGATCCAGCGATGCGTGGCCAAACCAATTGGACACCGATGATTGGGCAATGGCAAACCGCAGCGCGTCAGGAAATGCAATCGACGGCGACTGGAGGAAGTGCGAGTGAAAGGCATAGATTCGTGGCTGGCGCTTTATTGTGCCCAACCATGGCGAAAAGCAAAATAAAACGAGAGAGAACTCAGGTTGGGGTTCATTAAACTAAGGCCAATTGGTAGCTAAAAACTTGTCGCTAAATAGATTGCCAATGGATCGAGGAATGGATTAGAGCAGATGCTGGCAGATGTCAGATGTCGGCTACGCGATGCGCTGCACATCGCTGATCCGCTGGGCACCGATGCTCGGCTGCGGCGCCTTGGGCGTCGGCTGGCGCTGGTGTCGCAGTTCGCGCCGTTTTTCCCGTATGATCTGTTTCGTCTGGGAGGTGTCCAGCTCCTCCCAGCCGCCGGCATTGTCATCCACCCAGTCCTCGAGATCGGCCTGCAAAGCGAACGTTGATCAGTTGACCGCGCACAGATGCACTTGCTCTCGCCTCTACACTTACATTAACACTAATGGGCACAATGTCTTGTGCCTTCAGTCTTGAGAAATCTGTGGGCGCTGGCGTCGGCGCCGCATCGTCCAGATAGTATTTTGGCTGCGGCTTGATCACTGGCGTCAATTCCTGCACATGAACAGAAATGAGAGCGTGTGCTCGGAGCGCTTCGGGCATACACTTACGCTGAAGAAGTCCGGCTCGGGCTCCTCTTTGGGCGGTGTGGGCGGCTGGGCCATGCGCTGGCGATACTGTTCGATGTGCTCCTCGACGGTCCGCGGACTGTCGTCCCACGAGTTCCAGTCGCGCTCCTTGGCGCCGCCACTGCTCGACGACGCCGGCTTCGCTGTGGCAGGGAAATCGCCAATAGTCACGGCTTGGAGCTGGTCGGCACCACTGTGGCTAAGCTTGCGGCGTCGCGAGAAACAGCAGAGGGCGCGCCGGAAGAGCGTTACGATGCCCAGCAGGAGCACTTTGATTTGTTGCAGTACCATTTGTTCAGAGCTTAATTGATATCTTTTTATTTTGTGAAGGGGGGAATGGGGTTCAGCAAAAGTAAGTGGGGCACAAAAGAGAAACAAGCAAAACAAATATGATGTGTCGTGTGACCAGTGTGACCAGGCGGCATGCCACAACTATCAGCTGTTCGTGGACAACGATAAGCTGAATGCTATGTCACTCGCACTCGATAACATAAATGTTATGCGATGATTGTGTGCGCACAAGCTCAAATTTGGAATGAAAAACTAATAGAGCTTACCAAAAATTTAAATAAACAAATATATAAATATATGTATAGTTACAAATATTCATATATGCATATATGAAAATAATGCTTATATAACTGCTTGATTTGAATTCGAATGCATACTCGATAGCTGCTCGATAGTTTTATATTCTTGGTAGAGCTTTTCTTAAAATTTCAAATGGGAAATCAAACGGTTTTGTGTTCGCTTCTCTCTTTATTCAATTATACCTACGTGTGGTGTATGAAAACTAACATTCGTTTATTTTATAAGCATAAAATGAGAACATCCAAACAGTTTTTAGTGCACCATCCTGTTGTTGCCATTGTCGTGCTCACACACATTGTTCTGTTCGATTTTGTTGCGCCGGCGAAATTTAACGCATAAAATTTCGATGATCCATGGCACAGCGCAGAGGGCCATGAAGCCGTTCAAAATGTGAAAAACCAACAAATAGTCTTGTGTGCGATCTCGTATATAACCCACGATTGGACCAATTATGAACATTCCGTTACCCTGTGTAAACATGAACAGACCGTAGCCACTGGCAAACCTGTGAAAAACAAAAACAAAGTCTACTGTCACATAGTTTTGGCAATTTAAAATTGAGTTACCGTACCGATCTTTTGGCAAGTAATCGGCAAACACCAAGGGCAGCGGAACATGAATCCAAGTGCGCAAGAAACCAAGCACGGCTGTGATGCAAGCCATTCCTACGAAATCAGTAATGCCGTTGAAAGCTGTAGTGATAAATAAAGAGATTAATTGATTTGGTATTATTTTCTAGTCATATGTATGCCACTCACCAAATCTGGTAAAAACAGTGAAAAGTGAACCAGCCAAGTAAATGTAACGTGCAGGCACTTGAATGAAACACGCAGTAATGGCCAGAAATATGCGTGATAGCAGATCCGCAGCTGCACCAATAGCTATGATATTTGCAGTATCAGGCTGAAAATTGATAAGTACATATGTAACATAATAGCAACATATATTTGTTATGAAAATAAAATGAACTGAACTGATTTTGATGTGAGCGAACGAACTTTTAAATTTCCCATGACACTGAACTCTAACAATCTCTCTAAATGCTGGCAGCGCCAAGAAGCAACGGTTCTTTGCCCACCGAAAACTGCCAAATCGCACGACCGATTGCCTATTGATCTCTTCTTCGGCTGCAGTTTTAGCTAGGCGTGCGAATGAGACAATTAGAGACCAACTTAGCTTTCTGCCTATTAAAAACGGCCAAAAATTCTGCCGGCAGAGGTTGCTCGTCATAAAGTCTAGAATATTTATTTAGTCAGTTTACGTTTGGACGCCGCAGAGGAAGCTGCTTTTCTGAAAAATCATCTCGTTTTCTTGTTTCTTGTGAATTCAAAGTGATAAAGTGATAAATGTATAAAGACTTAAAATTTTTGCTGTGAATGTGTAAGTACATAAATACATATATATATAAATATTTTTGCATATCTTTTTATTTTATTTTTTTGCGTGTGAAAGTGCATTGCTATGAACATTTTTTGAAGCGAGTCTATTATTTTGGCGATACAAAAAGAAAATTGAAGCTTTCAAAAAAATGCATACATATATTTCTCTAGAATTTTCAATTGTTCATTTCAATGTACTTGCGCATGCTTATCTACGAAAGTGCGCGCAAACGCAAAGCAAAGTATATAACGGAGATTTTTGTGCATTTCTAGGCCTACGCAAGACGTTGCCGCGCTGATTCAAAATGGTGGATGGCAAGCAGAGACTTCTGTGGACAACCGTTTGCGTGGGTGTGTGTGTGTGCAGGTATGTACAAGGGCTGCCAATTTTGTGAGTATGTGTATATAAAGAACACAAATGAAAAGCACAAAAGGTGCGCGGAAAATTTTAAATTGTGCAAATAAAAGAGAATTGAATAAAATTCATTTATGAAATAAAATTAAATATGTATAAAAAATGAAATAAAATAAAATAAAGAAAACTTAAGCAAATAAAAGAGAATTGAATAAATACATACATATGTACATATGTATATGAAATAAAATTAGGTACATAAGCAAGTTAGTTTTTGGAGGTTGCAAGCACGCGTCGTGCGTATAACGGAATTCTTGATGTCTGAGGCAGGCGTAGAAAGAGAATAAGAAAACTTCATGTGTGTGTGTATGCAAGTAAATGGAAAGTATATGAATGCAAAGCAAAGCAAGGAATTATTATGGCGATGTATAAAGACTTCAAATTTTTGCTGTGAATGTGTCAGTACACAAATACATACATACATACATATATAAATATATTTACGCATATAGATTTTTTATCTACATATTTTTTTTTATTTTTTTGTTGTACGAAAGTGCTTTGCTATGAACATTGCTGAAAGTGTGTCTATTATTTTGGCAACAAGTAAAGAAAATCGAAGCTTTTATAAAATTCATACATACATACATATGTTTGTATATTTCTCTAATATTTTCAAATGTTAATTTCAATGTACTCGCGCATGCTTATTTACGAAAGTGTGCGCAAACGCAAAGCAAAGTATATAACAGAGAATATTTTACAGTTCTAGGCCTGCGCAAAACTTTGCCGCGCTGATTCAAAATGGCGGCTGGCATGCGAAGACTTTTGCGGACAAACGTTTGTGTGTGTGTGTGTGTGTGTGTGCAGGTACATGGGCTGCGAATTTTGTGTGCATGAGCAAATAGTTAGGCTACCCGATTTTGTGTGTATGTGTATATAAGACTTAAGCGCGCGCAGCTAAAGCGCACAAATGAAAAGCACAAAGGGTGCGCGAAAAATTCGAAATTGTGCAAATAAAAGAGAATTAAGTAAAATGCATTTATGAAATAAAATTAAATACGTATAAAAATGAAATTAAATAGAATAAAGAAAAAAGCAATTCTTGAAGTTTGAAGTTAGGTGAAATTATGATATATTATTATTATGTTTTTATTAGATAATATAAAAAATATAAATCTAAAAATTATTAAACGTGCTAGCTACGAGGGCCATCGACGAATTATGATATAAAAAGCCAGGTATATAAAGTGCGCAGAATAAAAATTATTGACAGCTCTACAATCAAATTAGTAGAGGAATTTTTTATGTTATGTGGGAAAATGAAAAAGCAGTTATTTATAAAAAGAATAAAACTGGAGGAAAGCTTTAAGAAAAGAAAGAGTATATAAAAATAAATTTAGTACAATTAAATTAGTGATAGATTTCTTTGCTGGGTAGGGGAAAAAAGCAAGTATATAAAGTGCAGAATAAACATGGCGGACAGCAAGTACATAACATAACATAAAGGAATGCTTGATGATTGGGAATATGTGAAGCTATGTAGAAAAATGACAAATCGAGCAAAATCAATATGGCGGACGGCGCTGCGAATATATAAAAGTAAATACATTCAATACAATCAAGTTAGTCGAAAAGGAGTGCTTGAAGTGTGAGGTTGTGAAGTTGAGTTGAAAAATTAAAAATCGAAATGAAGTTGAGAATCAAGAAAACGGAAAGCTCTATACATGCGAGTAAAAAAAAAGAAGTGAATTTAATAAAATCAAATTAGTAGAAAAGAAATGCAAAGTGATGTAGAATAATGAAAAGGCCGCTATATGAAGTGCGCACGCGCGACAGTAAATATTTAAAATAGCAAAGTGAATAATCTATAAAAATTAGTGTAAGAGTTTTTCGTTAGGTAAAATTATGAACACATAGGAAAATGAAAAAGCAAGAGCGGTAGTACATAAAGTGAATTTAATAAAATAAATTGAGTAATAAATGAAATTGGCAAATCGTGTATATAGAGAGCAGAATTAAGATGGCGGACAGCCCTGCGAGCATATAAAAGTAAATTCAGTTAATCCGATCAAGTTAGTCGCAAAGGAGTGTTTGAAGTGTGAGGTTGTGAATAAATATATTTTATAATTTCTCTTAAAAAAAAAGCTTAAATAAAAGTGAATCTAGTTTACAGTCAAGTGAAGTTCTGAAGTTGGTTTGAAAAATTACAAATCGAGGAAATAAAATTGAGAATCAAGAAAACGGAAAGCTCTATACAAGCGAGTATATAAAAGTGAATTTAATAAAATAAATTGAGTAATAAATGAAAAATGACAAATCGTGTATATAAGGAGCAGAATTAAGATGGCGGACAGCTCTGCATGCATATATATAAAAGTAAATTCACTTAATCCGATCAAGTTAGTCGCAAAGAAGTGATTGAAGTATGAGGTTGTGAAACAGTAAATAATTAAAATAGCTTAAATAAAAGTGAATCTAGTTTAATAAAATATGCGAACAGCTCTAATAAATAGAAAGCAAATAAAAGTGAGTGAAATAAAATAAAATTACGAAAGTGATTCCTAATATTATGTGAAGCTATGTAGAAGAATGAAAAAGTAAGTACATATACACGGTGTACTTTCTGATTTAATGTATGTATATAATTATTTTTTTATATTATTTAATTTATTTTTTTATATTATTTTATTTATTTTATTATTTTTTTATATTATTTTATTTATGATTTTATTTATACACATAAATTCAAAAAAGTTCAGACAACTTATTAGAAGAAAATTTGCGAACAGTTTTACACATTTTTTTTTTTTTTAATTTTTAATTTAAGACAGTTAAGAAAGAATTTCTGTTTCAGATTTGGCCAAATAGCATATAAAAGAGAATCAAAAACCAATATGGCGTTGCTTCAATAAGTGCATATGCTACATATATACATATGTATGTATATATGTATGACAAGTATATAAGGAGAACGCGTGAGGGGAAAGAATCAAGATGGTAGACAGTTCGGCGCATTCTTGTGTATACACATAGGGGAAGGCATAAAGAAGACGAGGTTAGCTAAACTTAAGAAGGAGAATAAGA